CTTAGTTAATGACAACTCCTAGTGAAAACATTTTTAGCAAAACTTTTTCCACAATGACAAAAAGATTGAAGTTAGCGGAAAAACACATAGAAGGGGGGGGGTTGAATATGTGTGTGTGTTTACGAAGGTATTTTGAAAACGTTTTCACAAGAGTAATGTTCTTCGTCCAGTGCCCTTTTGAATATCAGTCAGTTATGCAGATTTTGCTAAATACAGGGTTACTGCGTCTGAGGGATTTATCATCTGCTGAAGGAAAATGTTTCATATAAAAATAATGATTGAGGTTCTTGTATTTTTCTTTTCAAGATAGTTTCGTTTAAGGATAAGAAGCAGATGAAACTTCCAGTGTGATAAGTTTTTTCAGCAAAGTTAGCGTCTTCGTCTAAAAGTTTTTTAAAGATATATAAACATTGGACGAAGTCTTTCACAAAGGTTTAATCGGTGAGGAAGATTTGTGACTAAGTAAATAAAAGAATGCAATCATTTTATATTGGTTCGTCTCCAAGTATTCTCGACCACTCCTGGACTGAGTATTCTTAACCACTCCTGGCCCGCCAGCTTCACTCACCAGCGCTAGTATTCTTACACCATTTCTGGTCCAAGTATTCTCGACCACTTCTGGCCCGTCGGCTTCACTCACCAACGCTAGTATTCTTACACCACTTCTGGTCCAAGTATTCTCGACCACTTCTGGCCCATCGACTTCACTCACCAACGCCAGTATTCTTAAACCACTTCTAGTTCCCCAAGTATTCTCGACCGCTCCTGGCCCTTCGGCTTCACTCACCAACACTAGTATTTTCTTATCAGCCACTTCTGGCTAGCAGTGAGTATTCTTTGACAAGCCCCTCCGGGCTTTACAAATATTCTTTCCCTAGCCTCTTCAGGCTTTACAATGATAGATTTATATTCAGGTTTGAATATTTGGGTTACTCTCACAGAGAGAATTGGGAACTTTGTACACTCGCTAAGGCTTATTACCTTAGTCTTACAGAGACTTGTGTTTGAGTGTTTGGATTACTCTCATGGAGAGGATACATAGCTTTATAACACTCACTAAGGTTTTTCCACAATTGACATATAAAACACCTTATTATATAGAGATACAAATACAATATTACATTGTACAAATGACTAAGAACGCTTATCTCTGGTCTCTGTCTTGTGGGCTTGATATCACTCTTTTTTCTTCTAATCAAAACCCAACCTCTTAAGGTTTGAGGTAGTGATATATATATGGTCTAATGGAAATCTGCCCATTGCTTAATTTTGAATATATTCGTTGGCGCGAAGCTTCCCGTTGCAAGTGTCCGTTGAAGCAGATATATTCATCATGGCTAGTTTGATCCTTTCATTTAATGCATTTGATCTTGCATTAAATGTTGCTTCCTATTTTTAGACATTGTGTGTATTCTTTTTTGTCCTATTTTCAACGGTGTTTGACTTTATCTGAGACCTAGAAGTTGTTTGTCTTTTTCTGATCATGCAGCAATATAGCCGTTGTCCTTTTCAGAAAAAATAATCCACTTTTTCTTACACATGCATGCTTTTGCTTTTGCATGCTTCTCTTCTTCTTCGTTTCTTTATTTAGATCATGCGTTTTATGTTGAGAGCTTATGTGTGATTGTAGACGATGCCTTGGTTTATCTCTTGAGACTTAATTCTTCATATGCTTTTATGGAAGTCTTCGTCTTTGTCTATTTGTTCTTTGCATCTCAATTTTTACCTTTGTCTCAACGTCTGAGTTTAATGATTTGTCTTTTCTTGATCTGGTCAAGATTGTGGATCGACCTTGTTTTCGTCTGGAGTGTCTTTTACTTTGTGTTGTCCTTTGTCTAATGCATAGTTGACTTTCTTCTGACCTTAGACATATGTCTTATCTGATCTGAGCTTTAGAACAGTTGCACTTGCCACAACCTTGTCTGGTTATCTTGTGATCATGTGGCACGTACATATTCTATTCTAACTATTCATCTTTTGACGCTCATTTTCCTGTCATTTGCTTCATTTGTCTGCATTTGTCTCGACTTATCTGGTCCGTATGACTTGTTTTGCCTTGACTTTTTTTCACGAGCTTCGTTTTATACTTCAGTGTCTCATTCTGGGGGTAGTCCTCTTCCGTCTTTGAGCCGACTTCATTTTTATGCTTGTTTAGCTATCATCTGATTCTTTCATCTAGTTTGTACAGTCTTAATGGATTGTTGTATTTAATGCCTTTGATTTTGAATTAAATGTTTGCTTGCTGAATCTAAGTTCCTCAAGATCTTTTGTACCATTTGTTTGCTTTTGTGACTGATATTATGATGTCTTTGTACTTTCCTGATATTGTTGCTGTAGAGGTAATGTCTTTTCCTGGCTAGTAGGTGTACTTGCACTGACACACATAGTTTTGATCTGTGGATAGGTGCTAGCCTATTGTCCTTTTCTTTTTCTTTCTATTTTGATGACTTCATGTGTTCTTCTGAGAGTATGTATGCTAGGTAGTTCGTCTCGTTGTGTTTTTAGACGCAATCTAGCCTTCTTGGTCTTCGTCTGTATCTTTGAGTCTCCATCTGGTCCACTGTTATCATCCATGGTCTTGTATCATCTGAGGCTTTATTTTTTTCTTTCTTGTGTTGGGCTTGATTTCGTTTGATCTCTTCATCTGACGTCTTGTTAGCTTTTTCCCTTCATCTTGGTTGCTCATGTCCATTCTATTTTTGTGTTTGTGTTTGTGAGTGTCTTCGTCTGATGTATCCCCTTCGTTTGCTCAGCCTTTATCCCATGCTTGACTCATGTCTCTTGATTCTGGTATGGATGTATATTCTCTATTCTTTAGTTTGCTTGTACTTATATCTGAAACACTAACACACTTGTTAGTAATAACATGTATTATATTTGTCTCATTCAAAACCTTGTTGGGAATTGCTTCTGTCTTCGTCCGACTTAACAAAGGTATATATCCTTCAAGCCACCTTTAAAAATATTTTCAAGGAAAACACCAAATAGAAGACTCAACCTCCAAATTCTCAATAACATCATCATGCAACAATGCACACATTGAAATTCATACATGGCTACAAACAAGTCAACATCTTCATATAAGAATCTCTCACATTTATCTACATCTGATTTCCAACCAGTAATAGGTTATCAGGATGTTCCTAACCTCCAAGGTTATAGGGAACACCCCTATAAAAAAACCTCTAGATCATCATCTAGCCAAATAAAAGATTCATTGAGCAAATTCCACCATAGAAAAGAAATTTCTCTCAGTCAAACCCCTTTGCTAAGCGAACTTAAAGAATCCTAAACCAAGGGCCCAAAGTTTTCTAAGCCAAAATATTTGATTAAGCGAACATGAAAACTCAAAATATCACAAGGAAAAAGATTCACTATGAGAATTAAAAAAGCCATATAATAGAGGCCAAGATTTGCTAAGCGAATTTACCACACCTTCATAGAGGCTAAATTTTCTTAGCCAACAGGTTTCACCAAGTGAAACCTAAGGGTCTCAAAGCCCATATAATAAGTTCATGGCTTAGCGAACACTGGTATTCTAAGCCAAAATTCAAATTCTTTATCCTTTTTGCTTAACTTGTCATTTTAAACCTCGACATTCATCCTAAGAAGGCTCTCTAAGAAAAAATCATCACACTGACCAAGAATGCCATGAACATTACACATGTAGAGCTCTCTAGTGATCCAAAAAACTTCCAAATTGGTTTTAAAATGAATAGTTTGAATTTTTTCTTAGGCAAGTGTTCATGTGTAATTCAAAACGTCCAAACCACTTGCTTAGGCAAATGGATGTCCAACCTTGGTGGATTTAAAATGTGTTTGGGCCATCTGAACCCAAATAAGTCCATGGTCTAGTCTAGTCACACCTCCCCTAAACTACTAGTTACACCTCTCAACGAAAATACAAGGAAAACAATTCCTATACTACTTGACCCAAAATACAAGGTAAAAAAATTATCCTATACAATATGTACAATGTATTTACAATAGAGACTAAGAAACTACTAAGAGGAATCATACTCAATGCTCATGTAGAGCATAAGTCTAAGAAGCACCTTCTCTGTAGAAGCCTTCTCTAGCCTCCTAACCATGGACCTAGTTAAAGGTCCAATGGTCTTCATGTGTGCATTGTCCTCTGATAGTCTTCCATCACTGGGCTTGCAGAATGATTAGATGAAGAAAGGAAAATCTTAGTTTTCCTATAACCCTTCTCTTTCATTTATCTCTCTAACTTATATAAAAATGAAACTTATTATGTTTCACTTTTTATTTTTCTATATTAATAAAGAAAATTATGAGCTCAAAATTAGCTAACACTATAATTATAGTGACATATAAAAAATATCACTATAGAGAAAATATATGTAAGTATAATCTTGTTTGACATATAACTACATACAATTTTAATATAAATTTTGAATGAAATTCAATAACATATATTATGTATTATAATAGCTAATACTTGCATCTTTTAATAATATATTAACCTATATTTTATCTATAAAAATAATTTTTAGTAATGACCCTAATAAAAGTGAGAGAGAGAAATTTCAAGGATTAAAAATAACGTCGATTAATTATAATGAGAAGTATTTTGACAGAAAATCAACTCATTCAATTTCCTTTCCACAACCTCTACTTCTTGGAAGCTACTCTGCTTAAAAGAAGAAGAAAAACAAATAAGCAGTTGCTCCTTAGAATTTAAAAAGATGATTTTGTGGATATGAAAAATGGAGAAGATATGAAGTTATTTTTTTCACTAGTTAAAATGAACATCATTAATTTTTAAAAGTTCCTTTGTTTAGCTTCTCTTCAAATAATCACAGTTCAGCAAATTTAATTTAGAATTTTTTTAATTAATAATTAAATTTTATAATTAAAAGCCTCCTATAAACTATGTCCAAATTAGGATTTTTGACGTCATATATTATACATATTAATACCGCACATGCTCTAGCTTTTGTTACTGATACTTATTTAATTTGTTTTCTTTTTTCCAGTTATATATGGCGGAGTCGTTCATCATACCCTTTGTTAGATAAGTATGCAGCGAATGTTTATTCTTAAGAAATGGTAGTCCTTTGGCAATTCTAGACTATTACTTTAATATTAATAGTCATAAAGAAACAATTATGTACGCTGAATCTCAGTTTATTTGCAATTAATTATCGATGTTATCTTTTTAATTAATTGGATTACTTTGTAATATGAAAACTGTGCTTATTTTCTCTTCATAAATATTTACGAATTTCTTTCACAGATTCAATATATTTGAAGAGATAAATTAATTTTATTAATGAATTTTTAATAACACTTAGTTTCTATGTATATTTTTGTACTCTTCCATCTTAAATTTCTAATCTATTTAGTTTAGTAGTTGGGTGGAGAAGAATTAGGATAATTAGAAATATGAAAACTTAGATTCAATCCTTATCTTTAAAAAAAAATAAAAAATTCCTAACCTATAGCCTCTAGATCCAACTCGCTTGAACTTAATTTTTGTGTACCAAAAGAAAAATCTCTAATCCTTTTAGCCTCCCATAATAATTGACATTTAAGAAATTCAAAGTCTAACTAGTACTTTATTTTTTTTCTCAATTATACTATTATATATTTATAAAAAAAATCCACTAACAAGAGCGACTCAATCCTAAATCAACAAAACCTTTATTTTAGACCCTTTAGAAAAAAATTATATATATATATATATATATATATATAT